CCCCCCCCCCCCCCGCCCCATACCCTGACACAGATGAGCAGATCCCAGCAGAGAACCAGGAACTATGGGTCCAGCTGGGTTGGGAAGGGAAGGAGGGGTGGGGTGGGGAGGGCTGGGGAGGGCGTGAAGGCCTAGACTAGGAATGGGCAGAGAGCTGAGATGGAAGCAGCAGCAACCTCTTCAGAAATCTGGGAACAAAAGGTGGGTGAATCATAAAACCAACCAGTGCTTGTACGGCACTATCGTATCCATTGTCTCAGTGTGTGTGTTTTCAACACTCCTGGGAGGTTAGCACGGTGTAGCTTATGTTTTTATTTTACTTTAAAATATATAATATAGTGACATAAACCATGTACATGATATTACATATATATTATACATATTAAGCAGGTATATGTATCTGTACATATGTACATGTATACAGTGAGGATGTATACATGTAGGTGCGTGTGTATAGCAGGCATCTGGGTAGGATAGTGTATAATGATACATCATGTTGCATATATATTCAAAATGCACGTGCGTGTATACATACATATATACGTCTACGTGCACACACGTGTATATGTAATTCCAAAGCACACCCCCCTGTAACGACCATCCAGGTCAGGAGAGACTAGGTTGCTGGCACCCCAAAGCATCCTTACTGCTCCCACAGTCCTTTCTGCAACCTACTTTTCTAACTTCTGAGGCACTCATTTTCTTACTTTTCTTTACAGTTTACCACTTTTCTGTGAATTGCTAAATACTGCAGTTTAGTCTTGCCTGTTTTTGAACTCTGTACAAGTGAACTCATCCACTGTGTATCCTTTTATTTCTCGTTTTGTTCAACATTGAATTTGCAAGATTCAGCACGAGGCTGCCGTTGGGTGGTGTCAGGGTTGTCTATTATTCTGGGGCGTGAGTATACCACAGTCTGTTCACCTACTGTGTTTATCTTATTTATCTGCATTTTTCTACGGATGGACGTGTGGGTCATTTCCAGATCCAATGCTGCTATGAACATTTCTGTATACATCTCCTGGAGCTCATATTTCCCTTGAGCATGTGTATGCTCCTAATGGAATTGCTGGGTGGCAGGGAATGCAAATGTTTAGCTTTACTAGATAATAGCAAACTGGCTTCCCAAATGGTGGTCCCAGTCTACATTCCCGCCAGCTGTAAGTGGCCATCCCGTTATTCGGTAATCTTTGCCCACTCTTGGCTGTATCAGACTATCTGCCGTTTGTCTGGTGGCTGGTGAAGTGTCATCCTGGCCTTCCTCCCCACCCCACCCCCACCTTAGGTTTTACTGGGACCTGATCATGCTCCTGCTGATGGTGGGGAACCTCATTGTGCTGCCTGTGGGCATCACCTTCTTCAAGGAGGAGAACTCCCCACCTTGGATCGTCTTCAATGTCCTCTCTGACACTTTCTTCCTGTTGGATCTGGTACTCAACTTCCGCACAGGCATCGTGGTGGAGGAGGGTGCTGAAATCCTGCTGGCCCCTCGCGCCATCCGGTCTCACTACCTGCGCACCTGGTTCCTGGTCGACCTCATCTCCTCCATCCCCGTGGATTACATCTTCCTGGTGGTGGAGCTGGAGCCACGACTGGACGCCGAGGTCTACAAAACAGCGCGGGCCCTACGCATTGTGCGCTTCACCAAGATCCTCAGCCTCCTGCGGCTGCTCCGCCTCTCCCGCCTCATCCGCTACATACACCAGTGGGAGGAGGTGGGGCAGGGAGGTGGGCAGGGGGGCTCGCAGACCCCTCCGGGACGGCGCTATGGGTGGGGCTCCTGGTGATGCTACGGGGTGAGGCAGCTGGGTGGGCTGCCTCCAAAGTGGGTGGGTCAGTAGCAGGGGCAGAGTGAGGGTTCAGGGGGTACCCCCCGACACACACCCGGAGGTGAGGAGGGCAGAGTGCAGAGGCTGGAGGAGCGCTTGCAGGTTAGCTGGACTCTGGAAGGAGGGAGTGGGAGACATTGGAGTTCCAGCGGCAGGGGAGCAGGATTTAGGGGTGCAGAGTGTGGGCTCTGCAGTTTCTTTGCCTGTGATCGTATCCCAGTTTACTATACGCTATAGGAGGCTTGGTTTTCCTCTTCTAGAAGATGAAAATGTTAAATATACTTACACATGATGAGGTGTATCATAAGGATAAAAGGAAATAGTACCTGTAACTTAATACCTCCTAGAACAGTGCCTGGGACATAGGAAGTTGTCGGCGTGTTTTCTGTGAGTGTTACTGGAGGGAAGGGGGCTGTTGGCATGAATCCTCGCACACGTGCCCCGAGGACATGACACCAGGAATGCCCTCTCTCCTCTTTTCCAGTGGGCGCAGCCTGGGCAGCTTGTGCAGTAGATTTTTTTGAGTTTCTGCTGTGACACTGTGTGTGATTCTGGGCACGTGACTGGCATCGATTCCCTCTCTGTAAGATCGGAGAGTAGTAACACAGCCAACTCTGTATTAGCTGTATGTGTGCTGTAGAGCTCTGTGCAAATGAATAATAGCGCATTTTAAAGATGCATGGGGGCTGGGGCTAGAGAGAAGTTCAAGGAGAGAATTGGCAAGGCCAGGAATAGAGGAGGACTGGCGGGGAGGGGTCCTGTCCACAGCAGCCGTTCCTCGGAATCCTCAGATCTTTCACATGACCTATGACCTGGCGAGCGCGGTGGTTCGCATCTTCAACCTCATCGGGATGATGCTGCTGCTGTGTCACTGGGATGGCTGCCTGCAGTTCCTGGTCCCCATGCTGCAGGACTTCCCCCCTGACTGCTGGGTCTCCATCAACCACATGGCGGTGAGGACTCCCACGACTCTGCCTTCCGGGTCCTCGAAGGGCTCTTGTGCTTGAGTAGCAGGGCCGAGCACTGGGGCCGGAGACGGGAGCTGCCGAGCGAGGAGGTGGGGAGCTGAGTGGGGGGAGGCTACCTACAGGAAGTGCTTTTGTGTTGAAGGGAGCAGGCAGGGCAGGAAACCTAGGCAAAACGGACCCCCCCCCCAAGCTGCGGAGAGGCCCCCAAAACCAAACTGAAGTGCCTCCTGGGAGGCCAGTCTGAAGCAGAAAGGGGCACACAGAAGGACCGCCAGAGAGGGAAGGCGGGGGGGGGGGCAG